CCCTCATTCCTTTCTCCCCAGAAATACTTAGAAATACTAAATACCATACACGGCTTCGCGTCCCCTTTGTGCCCCCCACAGAACATGGGATGGCCCACAGAGCATTTTTGCCGGCTGGTGGGGTGGGGGGGTTCCTGTTGTCGCGACTGCCCTGGGTAGTCTTCCAGCCCCTGCAGTCCTTAGTGTTGCTTCAGGGGCTGCCATGCTTGCAAGCAAGTGTCAGGTACAAGTGTCCTTGATGCACACACTGCTGACGCTTCAGACTTGTATACTTGTCAGTCTGGGGCAAAAATGCTGCCCCTCAGTACTGGTAGAAGGTTGTTTGCTAGTCTGTGCTAATACAAACGACACCAGCAACTTCAGGTTTAAAGACTTCCATCCTCTAAAATGACATCCTGACTCTTCTGCAATGAACTTCATTTTATTGATGAGACTGCATTAGCTGCTGCTTACAGACCAGGAATTCTTTCTGCCTTTTGTCCTGGAGCCACAGCCTGAAAAGGTCTGGAAGTAACTTCTTCACAGAAGTCTGGTTTTGGCTGTGAGGTGGTTACCATCGTGACGTTAGCCCTGTGGCTGCGTTATTGAGCAGGACGCTACTGATGCTGAGCGCAGACCTGCTCTTGCACAGATGGGTTTTGACGTTCAGCAACAGAAAATGCTGCCTTACGAAGGTATGCTGCGGTTCAGTCTTTTAAGGAGATATTTTTGAAGTACTGTTTTCAGGTCATGTTGAGACTCTTTAAGGGTGGTGTAGTGTTTCATATATTTTCATCAATTCTAGCCACACCGAAAGATCTGAACTTAAAAGAACACTGAGCAGCACAGCTCAGTGCAATGCTGGTTTAAAACGGGGCTAGCTGGGGAGGTGCCGGTACTGCCCAGAGTGCTCTGTCGAGCTCAGTATTCTGTATACTGGAAGTGAGACGTAAAAAGACTAACCTTCCAGCTCAAGCAAGAGTAAAATACATGAAAGAAAATAACCTATCCATTAGTTCTGTGAGGAAGATGAGTTATAATTAGTTGCAAAACTAATTTTGAGCTATTAAAAACCAGTATTAGAAGTGAAGAGTTAAATTATTAAGATGCAGAAGTGTGTCTATAAAAGTATGTATTATTAAAGCAGATGTTCAGGGAAGCTGGGAGATTTTTGGCATTTAAGTATTTGCCCAGCATTCACAGGCATCTTGCCTTGATTGAAAAAGAAAAAAAAAAATGTTGCAACTTCATTCCATGCATTTTTCCCTCATTAGGACCCATTTATCCCAGCAGAGAGCTAAGCTAGCGGGGCTGTGCTCTGGCATCGCGGCTGTGCTGTGGGATGGCAATTCCTGAGGTTCTCATCCGTATTTCAGTGGGATAAATGGGGAACTGCTGTTAGATGTGACTGAAGCAAGCCTGTTGCATCTGCTGGCTGGGTGGTTTTTGTTTTCTTTGAATCATCCAGAGTGGATCTGGCAAGTTAAACTTGGATCCCCAGAGAAGTTTGGGGTTTAACAATTAATTTGAATACAGCTTGTTTTTAGCCAAATTCCCTCTGCCATCTTAACTGGAGTAGGAGTACTCCAGGAAGTCCTCCCATTAAAAAATGGGAGGACTAATAAAACTGATCCTCACTATTAAAAAAGATCAGAGTGCTTTTAAATCCTGTAATGGCCGTGGCACTTTGAAAAGAACTTCTAAGCTTTTACAAGATTATCTTTGTTTGTTTTTTACTCCAAGTCTCCTGCATATGTCTAACCAATGGTGGGCTTATGGTATACTTAGAAACCATCCTAGGGTCTGGAATGCTATTTTTTTGTTGTTAATCAAACTCTACATATTATTTGGACTTCTAAAAATAAGTCTACAAATACTAGCAATATGCTGTTTCTAAAACAAAACTTCCCCAAACTTTGCCTTCCTACTCTGCTCAGTTTTTTTTTGTTGAAGTAAGTTCCCTAAAATTTTACTTACATTATACCTTTGAACAGAATATGCATTGAAATATTTTCAGTCTTTCACAATGTAGTTCTTTTTTTTTGCAAAGCTGTTCACAGTGTTCCTTCTACAAAGGAAACATTTCAGTAATTACATTGCTGATTTGAACTTTTTAAAACTTTGTTCTATGATTCTATATTTTCTGTCTAATCTCAGTGGAAGGAAAAGGCATTTCTGTCTACCTCTGCTAAAACTCTTACCTTGCTTTAGTTTTCACCTTTTCAAAATCCTAAGCAAATGTCAAAAGTCTACGGTATTTGCTTTCTGCAAACACAGAGTACAGTAACATGTTTAGTTCATCAAAACTCAGTATTTCAGAGCTGAGAGCTGACAACTAAGACGAGAAATGACGAAATTTGTAGCTTAAAACGTACTAAGAGAGAAAGTTTTATTTACTCTGTGCAACATTTTCACAGAATAAACACCTGCTGCTTCTCGGTACAGCCGCGCTCCCGGAGCGCGGGTGCGCAGCGGGGGTTGGCACGCTTGGCTGGGTGCCGGGGAGGGCAGGAACGAGGAAATGACCAAAGGAAATGAATAGCCAGCATTTGTGCAAAATGCACCCGCAGGGTTTCCGGCACCCCTCGTTTCCCAGGATAACAAGAGAGGGCAAGGCTGCTTTATACTATGCAATATGCCTGAAAACGGTCGGCTAAAATTTGGTTTGTCTCCCTGAGCGTGCTCTCTTGCCAGTTAAGAGAAACGGAGTGTGATTTTCTCTTTGTGAATACCCCCAAATACACAGGTTGTGTCCACATTCTGATAAGGGCTGGAGGGCTGCCAGGACTCCACAACCTTGAAGCTGAATTGAATTGCTTTGTAATTTCAAATCTGCTAGTCTTTTTCTTGGAAGAGAGGAACTTGTTCGTCTCAGACTGAAGACAGGAGTCAAGGGTCTCTCCACTCTCTTGTGCAGCCAGTGTTTACAGGCCGTGAGGGCTCAGGTGGCCCAAAGCATCTGTCCAAGAAAGAAAAACCTGAAATGTGGAGCCCATCACCTTTGGAACCCCAGTAGTTTTTTCCCCACTGAACCGTAAAGGGCTGACACTGTTTTTTCCCCAATCTGTACTTTGGACAGGGCTGTAAAACCTGCTACTGTGAGGGAACGATTATGTATTCACACTTTTCCTGGGATAACAGTGCAAAACATTCTTCGGTATGTTCACCTGACATTAGCCAAAGGAAAGGCAAACTTGAAAGCCCAGAGAAAAGCGGGCCTCCGGGGTCTGGTGCATCAGCCGGTGTCAGGCATGCTACAGATTGCCCCCTCAAGCCCCTCTGCAGGGCCCTGCTCGTCTGAAAGCATAAAAATGGGATTTTATTCTTATAATTTATCTCGATGCTTATTACCAACCTCACCTATCCATTCCTCATTTATTGGCAATTTACTATTTTGTGAGTTTATGACTACAACCTCTTTAATACATGTTTAAGTGCTCTGAAAGAATACAAGGGAAATTGAAAATTAATTCAAATCCAGTGTTAAGTAAGAAAGTTAACCCTGCTTCTGCCTCCACATGGCATTTTCCATCTGGCGCTGCAGAACTCCTCCAGGGCCAGGGAAGCTGCTGAGCCGCTTTCAGATAGCACTTTTCCAAATGGCCTGTTACCATTTACTGAGTAACCAATACACAGGTCATCCCATGCTAATAGCACTGAGGTATCACAAACATTACTAAAGTTATAAATTATTACAGCAATTGTAATTTCACTGCTGAACAGTTTAACAGATTAAGGGTTGGAGTCTGCCAGTGCTTTATAGTATGCTTAATTCTAACAGAACAGGCACATAATTAAATAATTAACTAACTAACTTTGGGAATATCCAAGTTTGTTCCCTGCTTTTAACACATAAAGTGTCAGTTGCGGTGCTTAGCAACTCTTCAAAATAAAAAGCCATATAAAATTCTCATATTCAGAATGGCCAAAGCAGTAAATAGATTAGTAACTTGCTTAAAAGTTATTACCAGTGAGTAAATAAAGCTGTTGCAGCTGACAAGGAAGAAGCATGGATTATGTGAATGATAGTGAAGTGCATCCCCTCTGGCACTCAGGCGTGCAGGAAGATGGGCAACATAGTTGATAGTTGCTGTAAAATTTTAAAAGAGCAGCAATTTACAGCATTGTGCAGTGCAAGTCCTGATCTACAGCGCAGTTAAGCTTTTAACAAGCGTGGTTATGCGTGGTGTAAGTGTTTGGTAGCTGAATGAATCCAGGAAGTCCTGTTACAATCAGCTTCAGAAAGGTGATTTATTTCAGTTAGAAACCAATGCCAGAACAAAACGTTTCACTGACTCTACCCGTATTACCACAGTGGGCTTTATCAGACAGAAGTTAAAACAGTTTTATTTTCCTGAACCCCAGTGAAAGCCACCAGATGTAGAAGGCTCCTCTCGTTTTGTTCAGCAGTGGCAAAGTAACAGATCCCAGCCGATCCGAACTGGACCAAGTAGGAGGAGAGATAGTGACAAGGCACACTTTACAACACATCTGAGGTACGGTTAGATTTTGGCAGGGAAACAAGGTTTTTGATCGAAGAGGCATTAAGGCCTGAAAGGTCACTGGTTCAGGAGAGTAGTCCACCAGAGTATCTTTAAAGTGTAACCGCAGCTGGATTTACTGTAACAGACATGACTCCGCAGCAAAACTTAGCAGGACAAAATTACACCTTTGACTTCACAACTGAATAGGATAAATATCTTCTAATAACGTGGCTTTAGGTACTTCATACACAGTAATATGTCACTTTCCTAAAGAACGTATGTACTCTATAGTACCAAGCCAGTAACAAAATGCAGGTAAACTGCGTTCAGTTCAAAAGGAAAAAAAAGATTTAAAAGTGCATTTGGTTCAACAAACATCACTACTGAAAAATTTCATTTTTAGGTTATGTGTAGCGAAAATGTGCTTCTTCCTTGGGATTGTTATATATTGTGTGTTTCCATTTGATGATGTGGTTTTCAAAAAGAGGTTACAGGTGAAAAGATCACCGTGTCTGGAATCCAGTGGTACAGAAAGCTGAGTGAAAAAGAAAAACTAAGTTAATTTTTTTCCATCCTACAGTAAGTTAATCACTTAACATTTTTCAATCTAATTTTTACACAGATTTCCTAAAAATAAAATTAGCATAAGAAAAAAAAAAGACATAACTAGAAAGATAAATGGAAAACATCCCACTATATGATTTAACTTGCTTAGAAATTAGAAATGGCAACATACATTTCCTAACGAGCTTTACTTTGAGGCACCAAGCTGCAGGGCTTGTTCTTTCCCTTCAGAGGCTACTCCAGAAAAACTGTCCATTTACCTTAACGTTGTATCACGATTCTTTTTATTTTTACTCCTTCTTCATCTACCTTGAATCACTTCTCCTTTACCTAAACCCTGTCTCTGTATTTTACACATTTCCAAGTATGCGTCAGCTACTGTGATCCCGCCCTCAGGTACTAGTTGAAGAAAGCAGAACTGAATTATGAAGGAATGAGCTGGACAGTCTCTTTTGGTTTTCCTTCTGAATTCTCCAGCCTAACATCTCTTATGTACAAGGTTCCCAGAATGGTTATACACCTTCACTGTCCAAAGCAGTAAATAGAATAAAACAGAGCAATGAAAGTGTGCTTCAAACTGCATCTCCACAGCAACAACAGTTACTCAAGTTTATTCTCCACTGAGGAAGGGACCTCGGGTTAAGAATATTCATCCAAAATACTTTGTTAAAAACAGAATGCAACTGATTTTTTTTAAAGCAATGGGGAATGACAGAATTTTGCTTCCAACTTGCATTGCTTCAGCAAGAAAGAAACAGCTTATTAAGGCCTGTTTGACCAATGACATAAATGCACTAACAACAAAAGTGTTTCAATTTCATTTCTCTGTATGTTTTGTAACACAAGTTAAAAACAGTAACGTTCTCAAATCCCTGTAATTATAACATCAATTCTGCCTTCCTCCTTAAGTAGCTCCTGTTGTCTCAAGTGAACAAACTAAATCTGAATCATTCTGAATATCTGAAATGCAAGTTTGAATGCAATTTCTTCTCTACCAGCTTTGCTTCTAATGTCTCCCTTGCCGTATATTTTAGGAGTGAGTTACAATCATCGTTCTCAGTGATTGACGTGTTGATCCTTCTACAGACACGCTAATCTTCCTTTGTCATCAGAGCATCCTGACTACATTTTATATATCTCTGCTCTCTCTTAACCAATGAGTAATTTGGCCTAAAGTCCAGCTTATGTAATGAATAACCTTACATTTCAGGATCCCCCATATTATGTTGCTTTGCATTTGGTACGTTATATTGTACCTTTTCTAAAGCTGTCAGACAGGTTTCAAAGAGCAAAATACAACTCCACATCTAAACAATTATATCAGGACCAAACAATTACATTAGGACATATGCTAGAACAGCCGGCTACAGCACAGAGGAAAAGGTAAAATACACTCTGTGGTTCTCTGAAGTGCTTACCTTCAGAGCAATTCTTACCTTGGTCTGGATCAGTGCTTTGCAGTTATTAATACTGAATCCATCAAATCTGCAGTCCTCATTATCTTTAACATTTGAGTCCTCAACAATGTCATCCTGGCTCTCCAAAAAGTCCTAATAAAACACAATTTACATTCTCTTTACAAATTTCTATCCGATCTCAAAGCATATAAGCTAAAGAGAAGTTTCCCTCAAATAACAATAACCACTAAATTTTACTTTCTGAAGCTGTATTTTGAATTATTGTGTGCCCCCCTTGCATTAAAACAATTTTATGCCAAAACGAGTTCTACACACATTAATCTAATTGTGACTTAAATTAATAAAAAAGCCATTGCCAATTAAAATTAGCCTTAACCTACACCAGCAAATAGCTGAGAAATACATCTTCATCAGTACTGTTAAAAGCAATGCAATTTTCCAGTAACAGAAAAGTAATAATGACATAAGTTTAGGCTGCCTGGGCATTGATTTAATGCCAGTGTATCTATGGGCAAGAAAGTTAAATTCCCCTTCTGTTCCTGTGTTGGAGAAATGTCTCCCATTCTCTTCTGTTAAGTGACAGTTCTATAAAAGTGACTTCCAAGTGCAGAATAGGTCCTATACCTTCAGCACTGTCGTTCTGTTTGAATATAACTTGCATGAAAGGTCAAATATGTCCATAAAATTAAAATTGAATGCAGTAAACCCCCCCATGCTTCAGCAATCAAATTATCAATTGAAACAATTACTTCTGAAAACCCCATGTGACTAATTCATCCCAACTAAATAACCAGGTTGAATACTAAATCATCTCTGATACCTTCATCTTCTCAAAACAAGAGATTAAACAGAGACATTTCTTTTTGAGATCTTTTAATACTGTTGGTTTGTTCTCCATTCAATTTAAAACATACTCTCCTTCAAGCCTTGTAAAAACAGATAGAATAATCTGAGGAAAAGGGAAGTGGAACACACTTTCAGTTCGTATACAGTAAAAACATCCAGTAATTACTTTAACAGCCCCTCTGATTCAAATCCGATTTTTACTTAATGGAAAGATATTAGAGGCTAACAATTTTCTCACACTCTGAGCAAAAAAGAAAACCATCTTACCGCACACACATCTGAAAGCTAATTCTACATCCATACTAAAGCTGAATGTACCACCTAATACAACAGGGCACTACATAATGGAGACTTCAATGTAAAGACAATCAAAATTTGATCCTGCACAATTTCATAGTTAGTTACACATAATGATGAGAAAACACTAGACTATCATTTTAAAAGGCTCTCTGTAAAAAAACTTATGACTCACCCAGATCTAGTTCCTCATGCATCTGCATGTATTGCTTACAGAAAATCAGATTCATAACCAAGTGTTTATACTGGCATACTAGCAAACCGTTGTTCAATTACCTTTTGATTTGCATCTATTCCAAGAACACTCAAGAGGTTTTCTTGGCAATGAGATTTACTCCAGGGATGTCTTAAGCCGGGGGTATTATCAAAGTCTCTAAGTGTTCTCCATATGTTTCCAGAATCAATGCTAGGAAAAAAAACACAATCTGAGGTTATAAGGTATACAAAGTTTCCAGTACATGTATATAACTTAGTTATTTTCACTACATATAGTCATGTGCGAGCCTACCTTGATCTAAAAAGCAACTTATCTTAAAACTATTTCTACATTTGTTCAAACTATCAACCCAATGTACTAATAAGCTTGCATGACAATTAACGGAAACAGTAAGTCAACATAACTGTATGTTTGGGCTTCTCAGATAAGAAGTGCATTAGAAGCATACTTCAGAGATTGTTATATGCCAACAGCTCGGATTATTCAATTGCTTCTGTGAAATGTGGGTAGAGTTCAGCCCTATTAATTCTGCACTTTTCGTTTTCTGTCTCTCAAACCTTTCTCCTTCCTATCGGTCATGCTCCTCCACTGCAGCAGCCTGCTGCTCAGGTGGGTGACCTGCATCTGGTCTGGGCACGTAGGTACTACAAAACAAGCCAAAGGCACACACTGCTGGAACAGTGAGAATTAGAGAGTTCCCTCTACACAGTACTTTGGGTTCTTACATTGCATTCATCCTACATAAATCCATCTGCTTTTCGCTTAGTACAGGATGCAATTATCATTGATCTTAGTTATTCACCACAGTGTTTCAGGGCTTTTTTGTCTGTAGTTGGTACTCTGCTATAATATTGCAGTCCCTTTTAGACATATATCATATTTCTCCACAAGTTTGAGGCTGATTAAAATATAACGCATATGCAAGGAACTTGCCGAAAGGATGCCCACGTTAAATGTTTTAATTACATTTCTTGTCATTCTTACGACATTTCCGAAGTATGGTCTGACCCAGCTTTCTAGATACAAAGCCTCAGATGTATGCAAAAATAACTACAATCATGTTCAATAACTACAACACTGCTCAGAAGCTGCTGATCTTCAAAAACATGTAACAAATCTAAAAGCGTTCCAGCTGTCTTAAGAGAGAGCTAAGTTAATGATACTAATTGCTATTAACATAACCCCAGGAAAGAAGCCAGTTGCACCACAGATTCTGAAGCACATCTGGTTAAACGTGAGAAGTTACCATCTGGGGAAACTGGAGAGGGGGAACAAAAAAGCGAGTGGGTTGTCAGTAGAAGCAGCAGCAATCCTCCTCCTGCCTCAGATGATGGAGAAATAAGTCGGATGTGTTGTAAAGAAAGGACAAGCGAACAGGAAGAACAGGCTGCCTGTTGGGTGTTCTGGCATTCCAGAGGCTTAGTCATAAGGCGGCACACCAACAGCAGGAAAAACCCCAACCAGGAATTTGTAGTTTTTATATATTCCCTTCCTTGTTTTCCAAAGGCTAAAACACAATCTGTTTCCTTTAACAATACAATACAAAATAGGTAAGATCTATATGCTAAAAGAACATAATGATTAAAAAGATTTTTAAGTTCACCTGCAAGTGCCACTGATTTTTAAATTAAGAAATAAACAGTATAATTGCTGAGGTACTACTTTTTTTTTTTTAAAACTGTTGATCTAAACTCATTACCAAAGTTGATTCTTCATAAGTTCAGGAATCCCAACATCTTCATTATTTGTATCAAGTACTTGATCTAAGCTTCTTATGCTCTCTCTGGACTGTGATACAAAGATCTCTGGAAAGCCCAACTTAAATATATCCTCATAGCTGTGGTTTGCCTAGAAAAAACAGAGTTTTATTACACATGTTATACAGGCCAGCCCCACAGTTCATGAAGGACCTAGTCCAAAGACTAAATATTTCCAGAGATTGTATTATTGACCGTTTTTAAAATTTGTATTAGTATTAATGGCACAGAGACACTGACCCCATAGTTCAGTGTTTTGGGTATCTATCTAGAATTAGAGGAGGAGAAGCAAGAGTCCAAGAGTTTCTGATGAACCTTAGTCTCTAACTTCCCAGCTGCTACGTTATAGACTGGTTTGCCTACTAGCACTCAAGACTCCATCTGCTCAGCTAATTCAGCCCAGGTCAAAACTGATGTAGACATCAATTCAAGAGCTTGTTTTGCTAACTTAGTATTCGAACACACCTAATTCAGCCAAATGTAATGTAACTACTAAATGCTATAGTTACCAATAAATACTTGCACTGTGTAAGCCTGCATAAAAGCTGGGGTCAGTATGTCTCTATATCTTTGCATTTGCACCAAACTTTTTCCATCCTATGTTAAAAATCAGATTTACATACTTGTTCCTCCTCCAACAGTGATGAGGAGGAGGTTTGGAGGACTGAACATAGCCACGAGTAATCCAAGCAGGCCTACTGGAAGTAACAGGGTTATCTGAAGACTAAGAAATACAAACACACGGAAAAATGTGCATAATTTACATCCTATCCTAAAGGGATGTTATCATGCCATCTGGTCCAGAAGCTTTGTCCTTTTATTCCTTCCAAGAAGGAATTACTGCAATTTTCTAAATCAAACCAATTAATTGACTTCAACACCCTGCAGAGGGTCTGCACTCCAGGAGCAGCGATGTTGTGTGAAAACTAGAGAATGAAACCAGTCAGTTTGTCTTCTTTGCCTAGCAATCAACAATTTAATCTGAAAAACATAAGTATGGATACTCCATATTTTGACAGTTTCATTCAATTGTAATTCAAACAGCTGAAATAAATTGAGATATTTCTACAGTTTCACTATACTGAACTCAGACGAATGCAGTGAATATTGAGAGAGTACGGATTTAATCTAATGGGTGAGTGGGCAAAATCAACAGAGCTGGCAGAAGGCTTCTGTACTTCTGAGCATCCTTCTAGAAATAGAATTTGTGCCCCATGCTGCTCCCTCCTTGCTAAGGCCTTGCTAAACTGCCTGTCTTGAAGGGCGACTGCTGGGACATTTAGAGAGTCCTGGGTAAAATCCTTTGAATCTTGCCCAAAGTGTCATAATACTTTAAATCGATTTGTAAATTATTTCAGTAGACTTAACTTACAACAGGGATACTATATGGAGGAGAAAAATGTTTGAGAAGCACCATTCCGTGAAAGCACATGTGCTAATGCATACATGGAGAGTCACGGTCAAGGGAAAAAACCCTCCAAGTAGGTACCAAGCCCTAAATGGGACAGGAGCTAAGGAAAAGTCAGGCAGCTGGCTCTTGGCTTTGGGGTGGGGGGGAAATTACAGCCACAGAAGTGTGAATCAAGGGAAGCAGAGGCCTGCCTTGTTTGTAACATCTTCTTGGAGCCTGTCATGTTACTCCAACATGCATACAAGTCACTGGCTTACAGTTTAGCCAAGCCAGATGAAAAGCCCAACATACAGAAAAAATTTTTTTGTATTATCTTTATTACTGTCTACTTCAGCGGGTGTTCCTATTTTGAGTATATTTTTCAGCTGAGTATATTTTCATTTATGTTGTAGCTTTGTACTGATTATAAAAATACGAATGCACAAATTTCACATCCGTGCTTTTTGAACAAATCCTCTATATCCGATTATATCGGAATACTCTAGTGCTTAAGCAAGTGCACTAGTCCCTCTCACAATGGCCGGTATTTAAAGAACACATGAAAAATTCTTGAAGTTATTCAATCATGCAGGCAAAGTATCCAGCTACTGCAAGGAAATTAGTGATTGCTTTCATCTTAAAATACATGACTGCTCCAGACTGACATCGTTTAATTAACTGAAGCATTAGATATTGAAGGTCAGACCTCCGACCTCAGACGATCTCTAGAGGTCCCTTCCAACCTACCTGGACTTTTTTCTATTGACTATACAGAAGACAGAGCTCCAGCCTGAAGAGTTTATGATCTCAAGCAAACAACACAAAATGCACAGGGATGAAGGACAAGCTACACGTATGTTCTACGCCCAAAGACATCTCAAACAGCTCTGCAGCTGTTTCTCTACCCTGAGACAAGAGAAGACAACTTGAAACTCTAGCCATGGTTAACTTTCTTAGCTCGTACTGGACATTTCCTTCTGCCTTTAATAAATGCAAAAATAAAGCAAAGGCTTCAGTAAGATTAAGATCTACTGCCTTTGGAAAGAAACCAAACAATCTGCTATATTCTATTTCGGCTCCAGCCATTACGTACTCTCTTTTTTTTCAGCATAAGGCTTCTTGTCCCCAGTTTCCAGCATTAGGAACAATTTAAATTCTCTGTTTATGCATACCAATAACCAGGTGTCTTGTGATCTCCACTCCATCAGTGCCGGACAGCTTACCCCAGGTGCATCTTTGTGCTTTCCCTAGTAACATCTATTCAATAGGTAAAGTTCCCAGGCAAGGGCAAGAAAACCTGCCTCCAGAAAACTCCCAGTTCCCAACGCACGCTGGAAATCAACCAACAGACTACAAGCAGTAACCTATTACTGCTACTGATTAACTCCGTGGAAGTCTTAGGTGATTGCTCTCTTTTTTCAAATGTTTTAATTTAGGATAAAAGTAGTAAGAATGAGGGCGTTTTGGTTTTAATTTGTACATTCTTACTTCCCTTTTGTTACTTTGCTTCGCTTTGGTGATGCATATTCGGTAAACATGGAAACACATTAATTGCAATAAGGTATAACTCTTAACCTGAACCTTTTTTTTGTGCTGATAAGGACACATTATATTATTTATTCAGATTACTAGTTCTGACATTGTATGAGAGAATGTAACATCCTACGCCAGAAAATGAATGATATTAAATTATTTCTATTCATTTTTTTGTGTGATTAACTTCCACCCCTAAAAAAATTCCAGAGACTGTTGGATTATCCAGGCCGTATTAAATAACAAAAGTTATTGGTTTTGCCAATTTCTAACTCAATTTTATGTTGGTTTACTTCAATAACCTTGCAGGCAGCTCGTAGAATTTTTGTCCACCCTGTTTTTGTTACCCACCTTCCCGATTTTGTTTCCTACGCTCATTCTTGTCTAGCTTTTAAATTGCATGTGCTGCAGGGTAAGGTTCATCGTTTCTACATGCTTACTTATTCCTAGTGTCTAGAAGCAAAGTAGTGCATTACATTCTTTAAAGCTCTCAAGCAGGTTAACTTAAGTATTTGTCAAACACTGTAAAGAACACTTGAGTTAGCTGCATAGTAGCTTGACAGTTTCTCTCCCTGTACAGCGTTATCCTCTATAGAGAAGACATTCAGATACAAATCTCGAGATGTAGGAAGCAGTAATACAAACATTTCTGATCTTTGGTTTACTATTAACACATACCTCATTTAGAGAGCTCCAAGCCTCCTGTATCCTACTGTGTGGAGATGGCTCAGAACATAAGTGGCCAGCAGAAGCTCTGCAATGTCCTCTGCTTAAGTCCGTACCGCCTCTAGAAGTTTTTGTTGACTTCACCAAAACTTCAAGATTATGACTGAATCTCTCTGATTTGTCTAAGGAGTCCCTGAAGCCTTCAAAATCACCCCAGGAACCGCTCGGTTCTGAGGTACTATAACTGCTCTCAGAAAACCCCTCACAACTTCTCCCTTTGCTATTTACTCCAGAGAGGCTTTGCTGCGTTACTTTAAGATTAATAATTTCTTCATTATTTGTCTTTTCATTCGAGTTACAGTCACCTTCAACAAGAGATGTACCACCTACTTCAGCTGCTAGGTCTTTTAGAGACATCCGGTGTGATGTGTCTGTATTAGTAAGATTTTCTACTAGTGACAAGTTCTGCATCTTTGTTTAAGCAAAATTTGTTTGTTGAAATCTGTACTGCAAAAAGGCTACTGAAGTTCAGCTGCATTAGAAATCTGAATATTTCCAAAACAGAATCAAATTCTTCATTTCACCCCAAAGAATAATAACACTGCTTAATCAAAACAGGATGTCCTTCAGTCTCTCCTCCAGTAATCAGCATGTGCATGTTACTCCGTCTCACTTTCTGTGTAGGATTAGCCTGCAAAGAAAGAAGTATAAATAAGTACTTCTGTGATAAAGGCTGTGTAGGAATAAAGAAAGATAGCTGATACAGTAGGAGAAAGAATGCTCAGGTTAAAATAAACACATTCCAGTATTATACAACTGAAAATCGCCATAGGCAAAATTGTTTAAAATTGACGCTTAACTATCTGCCCACACCACAAGAAAGCCATTACATTAGTGAACAATATTCAGAAAGCACTGAACAGAAGTTGTTGGATATTGAGTACTGATTGAGCATACAGGAGACAAACCGAAACAATTATAGACAATATCCAACACTTATTAAATATTTTCTAACACTATTTATTTCATCCACCTCGTGCATACTCAAACAGTGCTCTTTTTGTTTGCATGGGCTTTCCCTGTTGGAAAGATTAGTGAGGAGGTGAACGTGACTTGCAGCAACACGGGAACTGGCTGTTTAATCCTGTGAAAAATATAGCGCTTCCAACTATTTAAGCAATTAAGACAGATTTAATAAGCTCAGTTTGGTATCTGTAAATTATACAGGCAATACTGCAATTATCATTTTAGATTAATCACATCTCCTCAAGCATTTTTCCTGCTGACAAGCTGTTTTGGGGGGCAGGTTAGGAGCTACACTAAAACCGCTCCTGAAAGACTGGCCGCTATTAGACTCCGGGCTTAACAGACAGAACAAATTTTGGATTTTTTTTTTCCCCAAGTTCACTTCGAAGGTGGCACAGGACCACGGGAGAGGCGAGGCACAGCCTCGGGCGGCTGGACCCTCGCTGCCCCGCA